AAGGGTTAAATAAGAGGATGAGTGAGAGCTCTGAAGGAGATGGTGACCATGAAAGGGAGAATCCAAGAGCAAGTAGAAGACTGAATTGAATAATAACATCAATAATTTTTAGTCCTGAAAAGTCTTATGGGTAAAGATCCTCCCTTGGTTCTGAGGGGAAATTACAATGGGAAAAATCCTCCAGAAAGTTTCAGATTGTCACGTTAATTATTTTCCAGAACCTAAGTATCCAATGAGCAGGGTTTATTTAAAGTTCTTATCACTGTGAGAAGCTCTGGTGGTACAGTGGTTAAGGGCTAGGTTGCCAACCAAAAGGTCAGCAGTTGGAACTTACCTGCTGCTTCTCAGGAGAAAGGTGTGGTAGTCTGATTCCATAAAAATTTACATCTTTAGAAACCCTATAATGCTGTTCTACTCTTCCTTACAGGGTCAGTAGGAGTCAGAATTGACTCAACAACAATGGGTTAGGGTTTTGTCACTGTGTGAATGTTGAAATTACAAGCTTGTCTGCTCTGTTCTACTGCAGTCCTGTTGTCATAAAAATTCTGATGTGCAGATGAAGGAAGAAAGTAGATCTCAGACTAACGTGTAAGAAAAGTTACAGCCCAGAAATTAAAGAAAACAAACAAACAAACAAACAAAAAAAAAAAGCAAGACAAATTTCAGACTAATTTGTGTTATTTACAGTGAATTTCCTAGTCTATTTACCTTTCTTGAGCTAATTTCTAACGATTTCTGCTTCTCCCTCCCTCAGGACTACTCCTGGGCCAACGTGGAGTTTCAACTAAATTTCATGCATTGCTAGAAGTGGAAAGAATCTTAGTTTTATTCAGTTCAATTATCAAAACATAAACTATGCAGTTGAATAAAGTAAATTATTCAAAATTATAGAGACCAGGACTGAAACTTGGTCCATTAATATTTATTGACTTCCCACTATGTTGTGGACACTGCTCTGTGAGCTGAGAATAGTCAAGTCCCTTTCTGAAATTTCTGTCTTCGCTCAGTGTATTACAGCACCCAAATTCCTTTGCCTTATATTTTGGGGGTTTCCAGCCATTATCTTTGAATTTTTACCAGTCTTCATTATTATTACCTTTCCCAAGGCATATTGTATTTTCTTCCTACATTTTCCCCAGCTTTACAACCCATACCTCCTTTCCAAACTCTATTGCAGAAAATTATTTGATACATTAAGTCACTGATTTTCAAACAGAAGTTTATGGATATTTGAGAGTACACAAAGCCTTTCCAAGGTACATGTATAAATTCCAAAAGAATCATTCTCTGATCTTCAACTTCCTTATGAGCCTCTTCTTAAAATTCATCTGCTTGACAAAATACTTCTTTGCTTACCCATTTCTCTTTTCTAAACACTTTCTCTCGTCTTACAGGGAAAGGCATAACTGTGTGGGTGTTTCTTAGAATTAATCTCAGTGCCAATGCCAGCACTGAGAAAGTGGATGACTGTAATAAATGGTTCACAAATCCTTTCAGAAGTTCATGGTTTTCAATCCATTGTTTTCAATGCAATTGAGAAAGACACTAATCAGTTTGACAGCAAATAGATCAATAAAAATATTTTGATGATAGATTACTGTGCAATGGCACATAACTAATAAAAATTTCAAATAATTTAGTATAATAACTATAACAAAACATCTTCTATTACTATGGAACTTTGATGCATGTATCTCCCATGTATTTATTTATGTGCTAGGTTTTTTGGTTCTTATATTTCTAAGTGAAAATATGAATTGAAGAATTTCTCATTGTAGTAATAAGTAATCTTCATGGATGCATGCAATAATTGGAAAAAAAGTTCATTCCACATGTTTATGAAATGTTTTTCCTATAATGTTTTAAATTTTTATGTATGATGTATTTATTAAAATTTGTCATATATTTATATTGATTTGGCTAAGTATATGCAAATAATAATCATATAGTGATATTTAGAAGGAAATCCTTTTAAAATACAATAGCTTAAAGAGTATAGGAAACAAATACTGCAGTTATAAAAATGGATAATAATACTATGAAATTATGGTTAGTGAGAAAAACAATGTAAAATTCCCATCTTTTCAAAAGACCTGCACTCAAGGAACTTTAAAATAAATATTAGTGGGTATCATAGCTCTGATATGTAGATTTCAGTGGATATATAAAGGAGTGATGTAATATATTCACTTAAAATGTAAATATTCACAATACAATGGAAATTAGATTTTTTGCAACTGTTTAATATAAATTAAAAAAAAATAAATGTCACCTTAAAAATATGCAAGTCTACATATTATTGTTTAAGTTTTTTAAAGGGGAAAAAAATATGAAGACAATGCTTTAAGTCACACTTACAAGTTCAAATGCTTAATGAAATTTAGTATGTGACCCAACTTCAAGTCAGATTTGTAGCTGTACCAGACACTCTCTGGAGATACCAAGCCACTGACACTATTGAAAGTTGTAATAGGATGATTACCTATTCTACCTTGTAGTATTAATTTCCTAGGGTTGTTGTAACAAATTACCACAAATCCAATTGCTTGAAATAACAGAAATTTATTGCACTTCTGGAGGACAGAAATCTAAAATCAGTATCACTGGGCCAAAACCATGGTGCCAGCAGGGTCACACTCCCTCTGGAGACTACAGATGAGAAGCTGTTCCTTGCCTCTTCCAACTTCTGGCAACTGTGACTTTCTTTGGCTCATAGCTTCATCACTCTAATCTTAAAGGCCAATAGTGTACCATCTTCAAATAACTCTCTACTCCATCCTCACAGGTCCTTCTCATCTGTGTGTCTATGCCAAATCTCCCTATGTCCCCCTCTTCTAAGGACACTTGTGATTGTCACTAGGGCTCACATGGATAACTCAGGATACTGTCCCCATCTCCAAATCCTTAACTTAATCATATCTGCAAAATATTTACTATATATAGTAATGTTTACAGGTACCATGTTCCATACTTACAGGTATTGGTACTAGGACATGGCTATCTTTTGGGCTTATCACACCAGCCATGGGAATGAATCAGTCTAACTTTGGCACAGAAAATGTACTCAAATTACTTGTAAAATGAAGGAAATAAGGATTCTTTTCTGGGCCAGAAGGGCTTCTTTATCTCCTTCATATTGAATTATTTCTCTACTTGTGAATGAACACTTTCCAAATCAACCTCCCTCCTACGTTGCTGCCTGAACTATATCTCAAGCAGTCCCTTTACAATACTGCTTCTTCTTAGTCTAATTTCCCATGAGAGAGAAGTGCTTAGGCTTCAATTTGCTCTCACTCATTATTTTATTTTTTTATTCAACAAATATTGAATAAAGATATTATGGGTTTATGAGTTTGGAAGTTTGGAAGTGTTCCCAAGGGAAGCAAGGAGAAGAATATGCCATGGATTTAAAAAAAAAAAAATCCAAGAATCAAATACTAAGGCTGGTTATTAAATCACTCAGCAAGCATTTATCAAATAGCCATCAAAATTAAAGTCGTGTAATTATTGAGTACAATCTTCAAACTGAGCACTTGCCCCATGAAGTAGGAGATGAGTCAGCAAAGTGAAGTAACAAACTAACAATAAATAACTAATAATAAACCACTGAGAATCTTTTTTAGGCTGTGATTAGTGAGGGATGCCAGATATTTAGTCTACATTTCTTTTAACCTCTTATTCTTCCTTTTTTTTCAGGTAGGGAAGTCAACCAATATCATGAGAAATTTGAGTGGAGGCCACATAGAAGAGTTTGTTTTGGTGGGCTTCCCTACCTCACCACCCCTCCAGCTGCTCCTCTTTAGCCTGTTCCTAGCAATTTATCTGTTGACATTGTTGGAGAACGCATTCATCATCTCCACAATCTGGCTTACTCCCAGCCTTCACCGTCCCATGTACTTTTTCCTTGGCCATCTCTCATTCCTGGAGTTATGGTACATCAATGTCACTGTTCCCCGGCTCCTGGGAGCCTTTCTTACCCAGGACCGTAGAGTCTCTTATGTAGGCTGCATGACCCAACTGTATTTCTTTATCGCCTTAGCCTGCACTGAATGTGTCCTGTTAGCGGTTATGGCCTATGACCGCTACCTGGCCATCTGTGAACCCCTCCGTTACCCCACTCTCATGGCTGCCAGCCTGGCCGCACGTCTTGCTGCTGCTTCTTGGGGCAGTGGCTTCTTTAGCTCCATGACGAAGATTCTTTTCATTTCCCGACTCTCCTCCTATTGTGGATCCAACATCATCAACCACTTTTTCTGTGATATTTCCCCACTCCTCAACCTCACCTGCTCTGATAAGGAGCAAGCCGAGATAGTAGACTTCCTCCTGGCGCTAGTGATGATTCTACTACCTCTATTAGCTGTGGTTTCATCATATGCTGCCATCATTGCAGCCATCTTGAAGATTCCTACTGCCAAGGGGCGCCAGAAAGCCTTCTCTACCTGTGCCTCCCATCTGGCAGTGGTTATCATCTACTACTCTTCCACTCTTTTCACCTATGCACGGCCCCGCGCCATGTACAGCTTCAACCACAACAAGATCATCTCTGTGCTCTATACTGTCATTGTACCCTTCCTAAACCCAGCCATTTACTGCCTGAGGAACAAGGAGGTGAAAGAAGCCCTCAGGAAGACAGTGTTGGGCAGATGTCACTATCCTAGAGATGTCCCAGACTGATGTACCTTAGAACCTAGAAGGGAGGGAAGAACAAGATTTTTATATGGTCACTTCAAAGAATCATAGAAAAAGCTTAAAAAGAACATAAATATTAATTAGCCTAGAACTTCCTTAAATATTGTTTGGGACCTCCTAAGACAAAAGAAAACATGTGAATCATTGATCTGTTACAGGGGATTCCAAAACTATGCCTGAGCTAACAATCACCTGAGCATGGAAGTGGCTTTTAAAAATAAGATTTCCAGATTTAAACAAATGTGGAGATTCTGAAAGAGTATTTCAGGGTTGTAACCTTGACATGTGTAATTTTCAAAATTTCCCAGGTTCTCCTGTTGCATTGTCAGTTTGAGGTTTTTCCCTCTAGACCAAGCTCATTATTTTATAAGTAAGAAAATATAATATATGAAAAGGCACTTGATGATTTATAATGTTAAGACTAAATGATGTAGTTTTTAATAGAGTAAATTAAAAAATCCAGATTTTCAAATTCTAGTTCTGTAAGAAATTGTAAAAGTTCAGATTACACCCACAAAGACTAAATTTCATGTCTCCTAATCAATACTCTAGGGGGAGCTCTGGTAGCATAGTGCCTAAAGCACTTGACTGCTAACCACAAGGCTGGCGGTTCAAACCCACCAGCCACTCCTTGGAAGGAAGATGGGGTAATCTACTTCCTTAGTGATACTGCCTCAGAAACCTAAGGAGGGGTCGCTATGAGTCGGGTCTGACTCGATGGCACATAACAACAACAACAATCAATACTCTAGGCCTATAAGCTTCCTACCCATTGCAAGTCAAGGGAGAGAGTTGCCGTGCTGCTATCAGCCACATGTGCACCAGTGAATATGGCTAAATATCCCTTCTGCGTTTCCCTTTTCTGACTCAGTGGCATACGAAGCTAGTTGATCAAATAACTATTGATTCAGTAATAAGGAAAATGCATTAGAAAAATTTTATACAAGTTGTCCTTAGAATCTTTTTCAGCACTGTGCTCTCCATCAGTGTCAAATGGTTTGTACATGGGCCGTAACAGCTGTCAGATATATGTGTGTGTATATATATATATATATATATATATATATATATATATATATATTTAAATGATCTCTAGCAAAATTACCTTAATATTAGGAAAATGCCTTAATAAGAAGGAAGATGTTGAACTCGGAGGTAGGGTGCTTCAAATTCAAAGCCTAAACTATAGACATTCTTCCAAGTTCTTTGGAAACTTGCTTGATTGCTTAGAGAGATTTATGCACTCTGATTCCAGACTCATTTATCAATATCTCTGTATAGTAGAACCAAATTAAGTTTTTTTTCTGTTGGATAAATAAAACAAAAGTTTGAATATGCAATTAAACAAATTTCAATAAACACAATTTGTCAGTCAATATACCTTAGCCTATTCTGAGCCAGGTTTGGAAAAACAAACATGATTATCCATCAAGGAAGACTACATGATCAATAATCATTTTAGGTTTTCCATTATCTAAATCAAAACCAACCAAACAAAAACTGACACTCAGAAAGCACAAATTGCTACATTTTCACAAAATTTTTGATCTCTGATGATCATATTCTCTTCTTTCCAAGAGTTAATGAAAGCATGTAGTTTATGATTCAGACCTTAAAACCAACAGATTTCACTTAGATCCTGGTTTTCCACTAACAAGTTGCATGATCATAGACAAGAAACTTTACTTTTCTTTTCTTAGTCTCTCCTTCCTAAAATCTTTTACTTTTTCTGTGAATAAATTTGATCTTGTGTTAATTTTTTAGTTCTGGTTCCTTGGAAATCTGAGCACTGTTACTAGGTAACATCACTTATTGTACAAATGACCCCAGATTGGGGATTTTAGGAAAAAAAAAAAAAAAAAAAAACCTCCAAACTGAGATGATAACAAATGTACTAAAAATACCTAGTGGGACGTCATAGCTTTGAAACTACTTTTATAATTTGGCATGTCTTTTGCAGGATACTCTGGAAACTTTGGATGCCCATGAAATTGTTACAAGATATATTGGTTTTTATGGGGCTTGAAGATTCTACATCAAGATGGACTCTGTACTCCCTTGTGTGAATCTCATGTCCTCACACCCAAGGTATAACTTTGAATGCCAGAAACTAGTCTCTCTGGTGCTTTCAAGAGTGCTTTCACAAAAGAGAAATGTCCGGTTCATCTCTACTGGCACATCATATTTCCTATTCTTTATTTTTCTAAGTAAAATTCAATACCAAGTGTGGTCTGTGGTAGTATGTGAGTTTGATTGTTTAGTAGTACCTTAGTAGTAGTACCTGGCATATGATACAACTAGTTCACAGTGAACACTGAATCCATTATTACTATCATTTTGGTATTATCATTATGATTTTATGCTTTCTAACTAAAGTGTTTGCTCTATTAGACTTTTTCACACTCATTAAAACTGGGATTGGAGGATTGACCAATAAATAGGAGGACAGGTTCTCTAAGACATTTAGAAAGCATAGCTTCCAGCATACTTGCAACTCCCAGAAGGTAATAAATGGACTACAAAGTTTAGCATTTCCAATGATCTAATCTAAAATTATGCCAAGGTGTCATTAAGTCAGTAAATTTTACACTATTCTTTTTAAAAATGATCAGAACTCTTCGTTATAAGAGTAAACCTAGAACAGTGTCCTTCTCTTTGCCGTTGTGGCCTGATACTCCTCTTCTAGATAATTGCTTCCACATTACAAAGAGGAAAAGTTAGAGAATGTCAACTAATATAAATGCCATCTGTGTGGCTCTTGTGTCACCTTCTTTACCAGGGGCAGATGATACCCTTTTTGATTTGTTCTTCCTCTAGTGTGAGAG